TTTTTTTTTTTTTTTTTTTTTTTTTTAGTATTTGTGCCTTTTTGTGGGTCTTCATACAATTATATCTCTTGTACAGAGGCGTAGTGAGGGTGTTTTGCGCCCGGGGACAAGATTCGCGCCCGGGGATAAGATCCATTTTAAAGCGCCCCTTTTTCCTTTTTTTTCAACTCTCAAACCCATTATTTTCATTAATAAAATAATATCAAAGCACATTTTGGCGCCCCTAACTAGCTTCTGCTCTTCTATTGTACGGATTCTCCATCCATCATTTTTTCTATTACTGGAATGCATATTTTCCTGAGGATTTTTCTCTCGCTGCCCTTAATAGATTTACCAATTGCTCATTAGTCAAAGCGTTACTGATTTGTCCTAGATTTTGGTTAAAGAAAAAAATCAGCTTCATACTCATAGACTTAGTTGCTTCCAAACACCTTTGTTTAATATCTTGTTACCGTACAACATTTCTATAGTTTTAAACATCCATCGTAGGAAACATGCGTAATCCAGAATTCTATTAGCAACGCATTTTTACGTTTGTCACGAATAGCCGTATTATGTAGCATCTCGATCATTTCATTTTAAGCTGCAATGCACCTTCCTCTACTGCCAATAAATTAATTTTTTTTTTCAATTAAATTTGTTTCATTTAATTAATTTTTTAATTTTTTATTTTTTTTTGGGGGGGGGGGGGTGGGGGGGGGGTCTAAAATGAAAATATGACTGCGAACAAATTTAAGCAGATATGTGAAATGTAACTCCATATTTCTGGCGATTTATTGAGCTTCTAATATGCTACCAAATCTGGAATTTGTTGTGCAGACTTTGAAGCAGCGGGTAAGAGAGTAAAACTTGACTGATGAATAAATAAGTCTAGCTCTGATTCGAAAATATCAATCTTCTTCATCATCGTTGATGAGATTTGAAACCCCACTTGCAATGTCAAATTTAATTTAGTGAGGTGATCTGTGATTTAGTGTGATATCCGTTAGAAATTATGTCATTAATATCATGACAATAAACTTCGGCATTTCCATGTATTAAACAATAACCCCAGAAAAGGTGTCAATTCTTCAGTTAGATCTTTGCTCAGCCAACTCACGTCAGTATGAGAGCAAAATCCTCAAAATTTCTTTTATATTCTTCCTGTGAGTTCACAGATTAGCACACTAAACTACATTTTGCCGCTTATCATCTTTAATTGAATCTATTTTAAAGCTTTATTACAATCAACACTTTTTATAATTACTTAATAATCTTTCAGTTTGGACAAATAGATTGCTGGTAAATTATGCAGTGACCCACTTGAATGTCTGGGAAAGTGCCAGACACTGTCAGTCTCTAGAAGTTGTACTCTACACTATCAATACGAATTGCATGGCCATATATTTGAGCCAGTTTCCTCCGTAAAGTACATGGGTGTTACCATTCAAAGTGAGGTCCGCTGGGATGAGCATATTAACAATGTGTGCAACCAGGCAAACAAGACCCTGGAGTTTTTAAGGCGTAATCTAAAGATTTGCAACTCATGTGTGAAAGAAAGAGCCTATAAAGCCTTTGTCCGTCCGGTTTTTAGATTATGCATCTTCAGTCTGGGACCCATTTACCAAGAAGAGCATTGACAGGTTGGAGGCGGTCCAGTGACGGGCAGCACGTTTTGTCCTGAACCGCTACAGGAAAACCTCTAGTGTTGCCCGCATGCTGGAAACACTAGGCTGGCCACCATTGGAAGAACGACGACGACTATCCAGGCTCTCCATAATGTACAAGATAAATAATGGGCTGGTCCACTGCTCCAGCATTAAACAGAAACTCGTCCCTCTCCCCCATAGACAGCGAAGAGGCCATGGCAGGCAATTCCGGCTCATACCAGCGAGAAGCCAAGATAGGAACTGCTCATTCCTGTCAAAGACAATCAGGGACCAGAACAAGCTTTCAAAAGGGATAGTTGAGGCGACAACACTTGACACATTTGCGTCTATTGCCTCAGGCCTTCCAACCCCCAGTGCATGATACCTTCACAAAGTAGCCCTTGCAACCAGTGAAATATCCTCATCAACATCAGGCACAGAAACATTGCAAATCCCCTCGACATGCTTAGGAGCCAATATGATCAATAAAATGATCGTGGGTCCTTAATATATAGAAGAAGAAGAGACTATATGTTTGTAAACTTAATTCTTCAGTTTAACTAAAATAAACTAACACACATGACATCCGAATAGCACTGAGTCAAACTGGACCCAGACACGCAGCGCCGCCATTCGCACCCGGGTACCATTTGACTTAATCTATTCGGATGTCATTTGTGGTAGTTTATTTTAGTTAAACTGAAGAAGTAAGTTTACAAACATATATTCCATTCAATTATCTTTTATTTGATACCTCATTTTGTCTTACAAACCCAACAATACAATTTTAAAAAGTTTTTTAACCTCAACCTCTCACTTCTGGTACCCGGGTACGAATAGTCGCAGCCTTAAAGTAATGAGCGAGTGGTTTGTTGATCTGGTTGCAGGATTTTCAATTATTTCAAATATGACCACTATTCGTTTCTTTATTGTCCATTGTATCTTAACACATCATATAAATAATTAAAGGATACCTTTATTTCAAAAAAATCTCGTCAAGATATTTTGAAGCGAGAAAGTAGAAAGAAAACGGAGTTAAGATATTGTTTTCTGTGGCCTTTGGGAGAGGGGCCTACCCCCCAGACGACATCTCGCCACGTGACACACTTTTAAAACCCTGCTCGAAGCGCCAACAACGGTAGTAGTGTGGTAGTGGTGATGTCATGATGAGGCGGACCGTTTTACTCATTAATAGAGGCCTACGCGTACACTAAACAAAATCAGGTGTTGAGGACTCTAGCTTTATTATAAACTTATTATAAACTGTAACTCTAAAGAAGAGGCTAAAGAAAAGTCTGCATATACTATGAAGAAAAAGGACAAGAGCCTTCAAATGGCCCGAGATGAACAATGGCGCACTTTTAAGGATGCGTTAAAACTTTGAATGAAAAACTCATTAGTGCGTGACTTATAAGTCAAAGTGTGCGGACAGACTAGAGAGCACGAACACGATGACTGAGAAGGTCTGTTACTTGCCTTTTGACAGATTCATTCCCTATGGTAAAATAACAATCCCTTAGTGACCCCCACCCCGAATAAAAGCCAAAATCCCGGACCAAGACTAAAAGATACACTTTTATATTTCTATAAGTTACATGTTTTTTTAAAGATATTTTAAATAGAAGGGGTTGGACCTCCCAAAATGGATGAATGTGAACACTCCATTTATAGCTTAATATTACAAAGCCCTCTAAAGATGAAGACCTTTAAATCTACTAAGTTTTAGCGAATTAAATCCCCTTTCCAACTAGGAACCCCGAAAAATAAATAATTTATTTGAACCAAAAGCACACATAGTGGTTTCAAATATTTAAGTATTCTACGCGATGGGTAAGAGGCCTTAAATTCATGCTGCGTGTTATGACACCCTGACCCCGAGGCCAAAGTCCCGCGTTGGGGGCTAAACACGGTTTTGTAATAGCCTGACCTACAATCCCACAAAGTC